GCTAACCCAAATTTTCATTGCAGTTCGTTTTTTGAATTCTATATGCTTTTTCTGAATCTCTTTGAGATTCAGAAGTAGAAGACGTTTTTGTTTATGAACACGTTCATCATTAATTCTAATTGACAAGAATTCCTTTCTTCAAAAAATTTACGTACACTTTTAATCACATTATCTGGGAGAATTTTGTCATGTTTTTTTTTTTTTTTTTTTTTTTGTTTTTTTTTTTTTTTTTTTTTTTGTCTTTTATCAAAGCTTTACAAATACGTGGTCATAAATATAAACTAGTTCGTTTACATTGTATAAAAAAAATACCGTACATATAATAAGAAAACTTTTTTTAATACAAATAATAATATATATAAAAAAGTAACACTGTTAAAAGACGCGGGAAACTTGCAGAAGACCATTTTGGTCTTGTCATCAAGAAACCGCTTTTAGTTGCGATATTTTGTATACTTAATTTATTAAGAAATTTCAGTTTGTCAAAGTCTCATGGTGACATAAGAATCACACATAAAAAGCTACTAGATAATCAAAAAAAAAACGGAAAAGAGCTGTATTTGATACACATAAATATATAGTTACATGGTTTGTTATACTTAGTATATTGACATGTACGAAATATAAATAAAATCTAACATTTACTTTGCTTTAAAGTGGATTTTTTAGGGGTTTTTAGTTATTTGTTTTAATATACGTTTGTAAAATTGTTTAAGTTTAGAACAAGTTTTTTTAAAAGTGTTTTCAGAGAATTATGGTTAAGTAGTTTTGTAATTATAGTATTTTTAGCTATTAGTTTGTTGTAGAGGTAAGGGCCGCGATACGAGATGGAGAAACGTGATAGTTTTGTTTTTTATATGGTACTTTAAAATTTCCTATTCCTCGAGTTTCATATTTATTTCTATTGCATTTAAAAAATTCTTCTGAAAAATGTAATGGGACAAGTCCGAGTTTATATTTGAGCATGAATATCAAATTTTGGTAAATGTTAATTTTGTAGACATTTAGTGCATTTAGAAGCTTTAGCAAAGGTTCGGCATGAGTAAATTTATCTTTATTAAATACTATTCTTGCAGCATGTTTTTGATGTCGATAAAGTGCCACTAGGTTGGATCTATGGGTACTTGCCCATGCTATTTTACCATACGTATAATAGGTTTGAATGAAGGAGAAATAAAGTAGCTTTAAATTTTTTTGGGGTAGCATCGGTCTAGCTTTGTAAAGCATGCAAATGTTGTTTCTTATTTTGGTATTTAATAAGTTTATGTGAGCTTTCCATGAAATATTCTCATCGATAAGTATTCCTAAAAATTTTGTTGCTTTGGATCTTTCGATAAATTTATTTTCTATTTTTAGAGACGGTAATGGAATTGGTATAGATTTTTTCCTTTGATTGGTGTGAAATAGAATGTAGTTGGTTTTTTCTGTACTCAATGATAATTTGTTAGATTTAAACCAAGTATTAAGTTTTTCAAGTTCAATACCTGCAGTATTGAACTTGAAAAACTTATTTTTTCTGTGGGTATGCCAAAATTCCACATTATTTCTTCAGTTTTTTTGCTTGCTTAATGACGTGCCTAGTTATTTCAAATTCCTGTGAGACTTTTTGTTGCCTCCAGCTAGATGGTGCTAGTGTTACCTACTTAATTTTTCCTTGCCTGGAAGCTGTACTGCATGTAATCTTTAATTCAGTCACTAGTTTCGTTAAGTCATTGCAACCATCACATTCTGTAGCATCACCTTCATTCACAACTAGATTAAGAGGTACTTGGATGACTTTGCTTACTTTCTTCTGGATCTCTGTTGTTGCAGTTGCAATTTTACGTTTGGCATATGAAATTCTTCTTCAAACAGGCATTGCATGAAGCTTAACTGGTGTTCAGCCAATGATTGTTATACTTTCATTTAGTAGAGAAAGATGCAATTCAACGTCTTCTATATTGGTATCACTAGCTGAATGTCCATAACTCTGTTCAGGTTCTTGGGATGTATTGTACTTTCGACAGCTTGGGCATAGCTTCTTGCCAGGTTTGATGTTTCTCCCAGTTGTTAGTGTTAGCTCCTTGACTTTGTCAATACTGGCTGCCCCAGAGATTTTGTGATTTTGCATCGATGTTTATTGAATGAATCACAATAACTCCGCTGCAATTTATCAAATTTTTCAAGTAGAACATGTTCGTGGTGGAAGCATATAATGCAGTTCTCTCTTTGTAATTGATCAACATGCTTGGTTCTCAACATCAACAATTCAAAGTTAGCATCGGATAATTCTGACAGGTTATACAAGCCAACACTGCGTGTATTAACTGTCTTGTTGCATTCATCTTGAAGCAACAGTCCAAAAGTGCACAATGGCACTTCAGCCATATTCAGTAAATATTGAATCTTTATCAAATATAAAAAAAATGTGATAACATATTTTTATAACAACGTTCCATACTAATTTAACCAAAAGTATTGTATGCTACTTTCTCAATTCAATAAAACTTTTAGTAAAAGTTTATAAATGTTTTCTATTAAAAAAATGGATTACCTAAAAAAAATTAATACCTAAAGAAAATGTAAATAAAAAATAAATTAATAATTATATATTAATATGAAATATCTAAATAAAATATAAAACAAAAAATTCATTTGAAAATATTCAATTCCTTGCAGATTTTTCACCAAGAAAGAGGCAAGAGACCAACATGAAATTTTCACCAAAGCTAGCATTACTGACGTTTACAACTGTGCAAAATAATAAATGTGTGAATTACTGTCAACATGGTTATCTGGGGGTTGCAATGCGCAAAAAAATTGATGACCGTGATGCATAACGGTGCATACAATGGGTACACTATTATTGATTAACATGAATTTTCTATGAAAATAATAAACACATATATGGTACTTATTAATGGTATAACAAACATCATTCCATGTTTTATAGATTCTTGGCTATATTGGGTCAAATATTGGTGAAAACTGTCTAAAGTGCAATGTTTGGACATTTTTATAGGATATTGTATGCAAGCTACATTTGATATAAAAACATTATTCAACTTAACATAAAAAAATGAGTAAATGCTGAAAAATTCAGTCTGATACCTGTTTTAGTTTTTTTTTAATATATATAATATATATATATATATATAAAAGTATATACATATATATATATATATATATATATATATATATATATATATATATATATATATATATATATATATATATATATATATATATATATTAAACGCTTTAAAAATATATAACAACATTTATATATATATATATATATATATATATATATATATATATATATATATATATATATATATATATATACATTTATATATCTATATATATATATATATATATATATATATATATATATATATATATATATATATATATATATGTATATACTTTTATATATATATATATTATATATATTAATATATATATATATATATATATATATATATATATATATATATATACATATATATATATATATATATATATATATATATATATGAATATATATAATATACATATATATATATATATATACATATATATATATACATATATATATATATATATATATATATATAAATATATATATATATATATATATATATATATATATATATATATATATAAATATATATATATAAGTATATATATATATAATATATATATATATATATATATATATATATATATATATATATATATATATATATATATTTATATATATATATATATATATATATATATATATATATATATATATATATATATATATATATATATATATATATATATATATATATATATATATATATATATATATATATATATATATATATATATATATATATATATATATATATATATATAAATGTTATAATATATTTTTAAAGCGTTTAACCGTTATAAACATAACGGTTAAACAAAACGCTTTAAAAATATAAATTATAATATATTGGTACGGTATAAATTATTGGTATGGTACCGGTACCATACCAATACCATACCGGTACCATAACTTGTACAAGTTAAAATTATGTTATATGGTACGTACCATATAACATAATTTTAACTTTTCATAATGGTGAACATAACACTAAAATTTTTATTTACCGTTATGTAACCGTTATTTTAGCGTTATGATTTTTGCTGTGTAGACTTCAAATTTATCATAAAATTATTTTGAGTTTAGAACTAATGAGTATGCAAAGAATAACCCTTCCCCAGTTGTTTTCATTCTAAAGAGAATTTTGATTTTGAACTTAATTGCTTTGAATTAAAATATATTAAAAGGTATAAAAACTTTTCAGAATTTTTTGATTGACACAACTTTTAACATGAGGTCACATTGCAGCACAGTGCTGGTAATAAAACTAAATATTAATTGGGTGGTAAAATGCAGTTAGCGCCCATATTTAAGTACCGAGTGTTATAAAGTAGTAGTTCAGCTCAAAACTTTTTTCTCAACTTTTTTTATCAAAGTTTATGTTTAGAAGATATTGGTGGAGCTTGTAACAACTATAAAAAATAAATTTAAAAAAAGAGAGTTTTCTTTACTATAGTTGGTTCCTCAACTAAAATAAAAAGGAAAACTATAAACACATTCCGAAACGTATTTGGAAAAGATAATATGTTTTAAATCTAACGTCAGAAGAGAGACAGAAAGTAAAAGGATAGTATTAATAAAGAACAAAAAGAAGAATAAATAAAGATTTTTACAGTTGAAATATATATTAGTTCAACTTTTTTCTTCAGCAGAACAACGTTGTTTCAACGTTTTGTTCTCCAAAGGAAAAACTTTGTTTTCTTTATTTAGGTAAGATGGTAAGTAATTACAAAATTTTTTCAAAATCATTTAAATTAAATATTTACATTGTAACTAAAATTATGAAAAAAAATCCTCTTTAAATGAAATGTCATTTAAGAAAGTAGAAAAATGCATTTATTCAATGAATTTTAATTTTTTTATGGTCATTTTTTAGCTTCATTTTCCTAATGGACAACAAAATTTAAACTTTATATACGCATCAAACAACCATCAGTTTAATGAGGTGTTTTTTATAATTTTTTTATTATTCAATTATTCGTTTTAATTAGATTGCAAATCTGATAGCAAACTTTACTTTATCGACATTCTTTAATTGAATTTATATGAACCAAATCGTTTATGTTTTTCATAGAAGATAAAAATAAAAGAAACAAGTAAGAGTTCAAAACAAGATTCCATGTCAGATAAATGTCACCTAGATGATATTGAAATGATAACGCCGGATGATTTACTTAGTTTTGCATGGCAAGTGGCATCTGGAATGGTAAATGTGATTTTTTATTATACAAAATAAATAAATATTTTATCTTGTTTTTTCATTAATATTATTGTAATACGAAGGCATTTTTATAAACCTCCACAAATACCATATTATCACCTTAGTGTAATTAATCTTCTTTAAATGTTAGGTGATTGTATTATAAGTCCCAATTTCTACAACTACAAAAAAAAAAAGTTTTCTTTTCGTTATTTCTAACTTCAAGAAAAATATCATTTAGCTTTAAATAGGTTTTCATTAAGTTTAAGATTTTCTCATGTTTTATTATTTTTTTACTAACTTAATGTATAACATTTGCTTCAGGAATATCTTTCAAAAATAAAATTGGTTCATCGTGATCTAGCTGCAAGAAATATCTTGGTAGGTCAAAACAAAAGGGTTAAAATTTCTGATTTTGGTCTGTCACGAAATGTTCATTACGAAATGCAGTATGTAGGAAAAAATGCTCGTCGTATGCCGGTGAAGTGGATGTCAATTGAAGCTCTTCGTGACCAAGTGTTCACTACATACAGTGATGTGTAAATTTTAATTTTAAATTTTGTTTAAGATATTTTTTTTTTTAATATTTTCTTTTTTATTTAAATGTGAATTAAGATATTTTAAAGTGCAAAAAAGGTTTTTGCTTTTATAAAATTTTACGAAGTATATTAATTTTTTTTAGCTGGGCGTATGGTATTGTCTTATTTGAAATTGTTACTCTTGGTAAGTTAAAATTATAACTTTTCGCACTTACGTAAATAAATGAACTTCAAAAATATGTTTTCATTTTGATGACAGGTGGAACACCTTATCCTACTTTAAGTAACCGTGAACTTCTAAACTTTTTGAAGGCTGGTTGCAGAATGGATCGACCTTAACTGCTCTAGTATTATGTAATTCACATTTTTTTTTTTATTTATTTTTTTTTTAATTCTAAATTTAAAACTTGGAATATTTCTATTTTTAGATATGATATTATGCTGCATTGTTGGAATGAAAATCCAATAATGCGACCATCTTTTACTGAGTTACGCAAACAACTTGAACAAATAATATCACAAGGTGGTCGTTATTTTAGCTTTGATATTAATGAAGAAAGTCCATATTACAATATTTCCTTATTGAGTAGCCTCTCATTTGAAACAAGAAGTGATGTAGAAAGTACAAATTGATAAAGATTTGATAATGTAATTTTAGTTTTATTTATAAAGTGAATTAGTTTGTAAAGTTCAAATAAGTTAGTGAACATTGAATATGTAAGTATTTGTAAAAAGAGGATTTTAAAACAGTATCAACAAATAATTGTAAATCGATTAAGTGAATTGAATTGATTAAATCAATTTCTTAACTTTAGATAAATAGTTTTAAATGTTTTTTTGCATTTGATTTTATTTAATTATGATATGTTTACATTTTTTTACATCCAAATTAATGTCAAAAAAACATTCTTAAATTTTTATTAAAAAAAAATTTAAACATCATCAGTTTATAAATTTTTTATAGTGATTAAAGCTATTTGTCATTCCATTTTCAACTGTTCAATCTTTTCATCAAGATGGAACATTTGCAGCCATTATAATATCTTGTTCGTTAACTACTTTAAAATTGTTTAAAAAAATTAGCAGGGCCTATTTTTACACACTAACTTCAATTATATATAAAAAGTATAACCTAATAAACTGTATATATGTTTTTTAAATGCAGTGGCGGATTAAGACTCTTGGGGCCCGGGGCTATTCATGTTTTTGGAGGCCTTTTTATGGGCCAGAGCCTAAAAAAAGGTCCTCTAAAATTTTTGCTCCCTCCCTTCCTTGATCTGGCACTGTCTGAATGTATAAAAACTTGTTTGTTTTGTTCTTTGATTATATTATTAACTTTCTAAGACTTTAAGTTTCATGAACTTATTAATTTAAATTTAAGGGCATTCATAAATTAAGTATACAATTATGGAAAGAGGCATTATCTAAAACTGTACAAGTGTGTATAAAGGAACTTAGATAAAAAAGCAAATATGTAAAAATAATCTTTTATCATGAATTTAACTCAAAATTTAATTTTTATTTTTAAAAATGACAATGAATTTTTTAAGTGAAAACACTATACCAAAATATTAGGAGAAAATCTATACCAAAATAGCAAATCAGAAAAAGAAAATCTATAGGAAAAGAGAAAAAGAAAATCTATACCAAAATAGCAAAAGGTAAAAAAAAAAAAAAATTTTTCAATTGCAAAACATTTTAATTCTATAAAAGCATAAACATATATAAATTTGGAGTTTTCTGAAAGTTTTCTGGTAATTTCATACCTAAGACTTAAAAAAAATCATTTTAGCGCCTAGTTAGCAGCGTGCCGGTAAATTATTTTCATTTAAAGTGCTCAAAACTAAATTGTTATATTAAAAATCAATTTCCTACCCCAAAATGTTTTGATGTAAAATTTGTTCATCAAAAGATTCCTTTTAATTTTGATAGCTTTGTTTTGCCTCTTTCAGCAGAACAAAGCTAGCAAAATGGGGAGTTTAAATTAAAAAACAAATACGCTTGTACCCAGCAATCTTTCCATCCTTGGTATATGCATGGGATTCATAGGCTGATAACCGGTACCACTGCGCTGATGATACTGTTCATATTCCAATACTTGATCGTATTTGTTTTACAATCGGCCTACTGCGTCGACCATGTCGATCTTATTCCAGACTTGAACCATGTTTTCAATTGAAAAAAGGCGTATGCTTGATTTTTATAAAAAATGTTAAAATAAAATCTTTAAGAGTTAAAAAATGAGTAAAGAATTAAAAAACAAAAATTTAAAATAAAGATAAATATCTTCAACTTTTTAACAAATGTCAGTTTCCTTTTTACTTTTTATTGATTTCTATTTGTTATAATTTTATTTGAATTTAATCAAGAATGATAAGGAATCTTATCCCAGAGAGCAAGCATCCACTGACCCAACGTTGGGCCAATGCATGTTGATTCATTGGCCTAACGTTGAAATTCGATGTTGGCTCAATGCACGTTTGATCATTGCACAATGGGGCCGAACAAAGGAAAAACGGCCAAAAATCGAAAAATCTGCCAATCCATTTTTTCGAATCTCGAATCGAATCGAATTGCAAATTCGATTCGATTCGAGAATCGAATTTGCAAAGGAAAGTAAAGAATACGCAATTCGATTAAAAGAGTAATATGATAAAAAAATTGATTTTTTTATCATATTACTCGAAGAGGTTGTGATTATTTAAAATTCTGTGGACAGCAAAATCTAGTAGACTGAGGAGTTTGATTAGTCCATAATATTTTTCCACAGCTTGTTTGCAATCTTAAAGGAATCATAGATGTCACAAATAATGAATTATCACTAATATTTTCACTTAGATCATGATTGAATCTTGCTTGTTGTGTGCTACCGTCAAAGATATAAGAAACTTTAAAATTGCATTGAACAACATTAATTTCTGGAACTTCTTTATCAATAAGTTCATGCTGCAATTTACTAATTCTTTCTAGAGTATGTTTTAATATATGCTTCCATTCTACTTCAATGCAATTTTCTGTTTGCAATATTTCTCTTGTGCTGATACCAACTTATAAAGAAGGAAAATATTGCCACCTTGAGTTTTAGCTGCAAATCTTATTTGATTATACTGATCTTGGGACAAATTCGTATCAAAAAGAAACGATAACGCTTGTTCCGGTAGCATTCTCACAACTTCAGAATTAATCTTATTCAATACAGCAGCCAAATTTTGACTTTGAATAACTTGTTTGATTAAATGAGATGTCTTTTTTATTATTTTGTGCACCGACGGTTGCAGCAACTCTGAGGTACACATCAGTTTCGGGTTCGTTATTAGATACAACATTATCAATAACTCGGCGTTTGGATCTGGCAGACATCTTCAAAAACGGCATAGCTGGTCTTCCTCTTTTCGTTTTGTTAGAACTGGACGGCTGAGGGTCACATTTAAGCTCTATTGGAAGCTCGTATTTAGTTTAAAGCCAACTTCCATGGTATTTCATGAATCTTGCAGAAGAACAACCTTGCTTTCTCCAAAGTTCGTTGTATCGCTTTTTTATATTTTTTATTTTCTGTGTTATAACTTTTTTTTCTTCTTCCTTTAGGTCTCTTTTAGGTTTTTCTTTACAACACAACAAGCATTTTTCAATCGCTAGATAATGTTTATCATTTTGTTTTATAATTGCAACAATTTCACTATACTTAATAATCATTTTTAAATGTATTTACACATTTCACGGTTTTATTTATCTTTGAACAATGCTTTTGAATTGCGTAAGGATTATATGTTACTGCAGTAACCAATAATCCTTACAAAGTAATTATTGGTTATACAATTTTATATAATTATTGCAGTAACCAATAAAGTAATTATTGGTTACTGCAGATGGCATTTCTATCAGTATACTGGATGGCATTTCTATCAGTATACTGATAGATGGCATTTCTATCAGTATACTGATAGAAATGCCATCTGTCTTTATTTTTAGATTTTTTCAAAGAAAAAGACAAAAAAAAGTTTTTTAAACGGAAAAACAATGAATCAAACAGTACAAGACAGACTAAGTTTTTATCAAATTTGATTGAACTAAGTTTCAAGTATTTATTGCAAGTTAAACTTCCATCGGCCATCAACAGCAAAATTATATCTCTAGCTTTTAAGTTATAAACAAACTAAAAGCGCTATAAATATATATATTTTTATTGGAAATAAACTAAATTAAATTAACTTTATTGCATATATTGATAGACTTAATCATTATCTTTACATAGATATATAATTTAATATTCTTAAAACAGCAGTCACAAAGTAAATGTAATAAACTCAAAATAGGAATTTTAACACAAATTTCGGTCAGTTTGAATTTGAGTCTAATGGTTACTCAACATCCAACTTTTTTTAAGTACAAACTAATCTGTTTCAGATGCAGCTACAAATAAGATTTAAAGTTAGCATTTAAAATTTTCAAAAATTTAAAACTTGATTTTTAGGTTTTTGGCCATTTTTTCCTTTGTTAGGCCCCATTGTGCATCGGTTAGACATTTGCCAAACATGGTGTACAACATTGGCCCAATGTTATTTATTTTTAACCTCTAACCCTAACTTTAACTCTAACTCTGACCCTAAACCTAACCCTCCACTATATACATTCATACACTTGTCGTCACCCTAGAAGTAAAACTAATGCAAGTAACACTGGCAATATTTTGTTTTAATGCATTTCAGAAATTTATAATCTTCAAAAAAAACGGGTCTCAAAGGGCGTAAGAGGTCCGGGTCTCAAAGGGCGAAACAGGTCCGGGTCCTGGCGCTCTGAGGGTGGGGTGTGGAAATACCTCACTGTTATATACATTTGTTTTATTTTTGTTACCCTAACAAGTAAAACTGATGTATAGCACTATCACTGGCACAAGCTGATTTTAAGAGATTTTCAAAATATATTATTTTAGATACAAACGGGTCTCAAAAAAGTTTGAAAACAGATCGGGGACCTATCATTTCTTAGGTAGAGTCTTAGAATAGGTCATTGCTATATACATTCTTATAATTTTTAAAACCCTAATAAGTAAAACTGATGCATGTAACACTTACACTAACTGATTTTAATAGATTTTAGAAATATGTCATTTTAGACAAAAACGGGGTTCTAAAGGGGTCACAAAGCAGGTATTTGCCATCATCAGTTTGCAAAAAAAAATTATCTGTGAACTTTTTTGAACCTCGCCAATCATCGATGAACTTTATTGAACCTCACCAGATAAGAGGTTGTGCGTTATCAGTTATATATATATATATATATATATATATATATATATATATATATATATATATATATATATATATATATATATATATATATATATATATATATATATATATATATATATATATATATATATATATATATATATATATATATATATATATATATATATATATATATATATATATATATATATATATATATATACAGCAAAATCCGAAATTCTTGTTTCAAGCAAAAAAAGTCTTGTCTCTTTTTAAGAAAAAAATGACTTGTCCGCCACGTAAGAATATTTTTTCTTGTTTCAAGATTTTTTATTCTTGAAACAAGAATTTTTTTCTTGTTTCAAGAGTTTTTATTCTTAATATAAGAATTATTTTTCTTGCTATAAGTATTTTTATTCTTAATATAAAAACTTTTTTCCTTATTTTAAGAATTTTTATTCTTAAAACAAGAACTTTATTTTTTGTTTCAAGAATTTATATTCCTTAAAAAAATTCATTTTTACTCGTTTCAATGTTGTTGTTTTTTTAAATAAGATTCTATTTTTTTTTTCAATAATATTTCTCC